AAGGCACCAACTCGTCGAAGGTGACGTCCTGGGAGGACAGAACACGGCGCGAGGTGGGGTGGTAAAACTGCCAACCAGGCGCGTCAGGGGGGAAGCCAAGGAAGACGCAGGGAACAGCACGGGGGGACAGCTTGTCCGCAGACAAGTCGCGGACAAACGCCCGAGATCCCCAGACCCGAAACGCAGACGCATCGCCAACCTTCCCCGTCCACCGCAAGGTGGGGGAGGTCTCTGGCAAGGAGACCCGGGGCTGAAGGTTGAGCTGATGCGCTGCGTACTGAACCGCAAACGGCCACAGAAAATGGGGGGCAGCCGCATGGATCATGGACGTACGAGCGACGTCCATGACCATGCCAATGCGGCGCTCAGCAATCCCATTTTGCTGTGGAGAGGCCGGAAGCGTGAAGGTCTGGCGGATGCCCTGTGCACGACAGAAGGCTCCCAGACGGGCAGAGGAAAACTCCCCGCCTCTGTCAGAGTGCAGACGCAGAACAGGAAAGTCCGAGCCGAAACTCTCTCTGAGCTGGAGACGAGCTGCGCGGATCCAGTCGATCAACACCTCAGTGACGTCACCCTTGCTGCGCAAGGGGAAGACCGTGGTGTAACGCGAGTAGTCGTCAACCACCAACAGGAAGTAACGCTCGTGACCCTGGCCACGGACGCGGGCGGGGCCCCACACGTCCATGTGAAGAGTCTGCAGCGGAGCCTCTGTCGGAGGAAACTCGGAGGAGTGAGGGGCGGCGCGCTGTCGCCCCTCGACGCAGGGGACGCAGGTAGGGGCAGGCCCCGGAGGTAGGGGAGGGAGAGACCGGGGGAGACCAGAGATAAGGACACGGGAGGCCATGCCTCGGAGACGAGGCAGGGAGGGGTGACCAAGGCGGTGGTGCCAAAGGAGAGTCTGGTGAGACAGGAGACGACACGAGCAGGGAGCAGACTCAGGACCAGACCTAGACGCAGCAGCAAACACGTGACTCGACGCAGCTACCTGACCAGACTCAGCAACCGGAGGAGACTCAGTAGTCAGTGTGTACAGGCTCGACCCCGGCCGACGGGTAAACGTGGCCAAGTGGCGGCCCGTCCGCGCACACGTACAGTGGGTCACCCGCTGACTCGCAGGAGTGAACTGGTCAACCCCCCGATCCTGTAGATCAGCACCACTCACCAAGTTCGTAGAGAACGAGGGGAGGTAGAGACCTGACAGGGTGCCAGAGGGGGCTGCCGGACAGGGTAAGACAGTGGAGAAGCGAGCAAGGACAGGACCCCCAGAGGGGTCCGCCAGGGAGACCGCAACCGGCCGACTGAGCGGCGTAAGCGTGGTGCAGTCTCGAAAGAAGGAGCGGGAAGCACCCGAGTCAAGAGTGAAGGTGTGTAAGGCCTGAGACGACGTGGTACCTGAGAGAGCAGACTCACCAGCACCTGGGGCAGCAGACGCACTAGCACCTAGAGCAGCAGCCTCACCAGCACCTAGAGCAGCAGCCTCAATGCCCGGGTCAGGCGGAACACACAGGTAACAGTCGCCCTCATCACTAGTAGGCAATGCATACATGGCAGTAAGGATAGCATCATAGTCAAGAGTATAGATATCTACCCGCAGCCGAAGCAGCTCCACCCAGTCGGGGAGCTCAGCCGCGTCGCCAAACTTCGTACGCCAAGCGTCGCTCAGACGGGCGAAGCAGCGGGACTCTGCGTGACCCAACGTCCCGCAAGGCTGACCAGTCCGAGCACCAGTGCGAATGACGTACGAACAGCGAGCAGTACCCCGTGACCCGTCACGCTGAGCGTACCACTCACGAAGCTGCTGGGGCGAAAGGACTGCTCGCGGACGACGCTGAAGCTGCACCTGGCCCCTACAAGCAGCTGCCGAACTACTCACTCCAGGACGACTCCCACTACGGCCACCCCGACAACCCCAACTAGCGTACCACTCACGAAGCTGTTGGGGGGTGAGGGACTCACGCGGGCGACGCTGCAGCTGCACCTGGCCACTACAAGCAGCTGTGGAACTACTCACTCCAGGACGACTCCCACTACGGCCACCCCGACAACCCCAACTAGCGTACCACGCACGAAGCTGTTGGGGGGTGAGGGACTCACGCGGGCGACGCTGGAGCTGCATCTGGCCACGCCAGGAGCAGCAGTAGCAGTAGAAAGAGCAGCAGCAGTAAGAGCAGCAGTAACAGCAGTACGGGCAGGGCAGTGCTCACCAGTGGCGAGAAGGGCAGGCGTACGACGGCGGCAACGGCGAGGCCGCTACCACTGTAGAGCGAGAGCTCCGCGGCAGCTGCAGGGGTGGCTGCTCCAGGGGCGGCAGTTGTAGGGGCGACTGCTCCAGAGGCGGCTGCTCTAGGGGCGGCTGCTGCAGTTGCGGCTGCTCCAGGGGCGGCTGCTGCAGTGGCGGCTGCTCCAGGGGCGGCTCGGCTGCTGGGCGACTCGGCGGGGCGGCTCGGCGGCTCGGCTGCTCGCTAGGGGCGGCGACGGGGCCGGGTAGGGGCAGCGACGGGGCCGCTAGGGGCGGGGAGCGGCGACGGGGCCGCTAGGGGCGGCGACGGGGCCGCGTAGGGGCGGCTACGAGGCCGCGTAGGGGCGGCGACGGGGCCGCGTAGGGAGGGAAGCGGCGACGGGGCCGCTAGGGGCGGCGACGGGGCCGCGTAGGGGTGGCTACGAGGCCGCGTAGGGGCGGCGACGGGGCCGCGTAGGGAGGGAGGCGGCGACGGGGCCGCTAGGGGCGGCGACGGGGCCGCGTAGGGGCGGCGACAGGGCCGCGTAGGGAGAGAGGAGGCGACGGGGTCGTTAGGGGCGGCGACGGGGCCGCGTAGGGGCGGCGACGGGGCCGCGTAGGGGCGGCGACGGGGCCGCGTAGGGAGGGGAGCGGCGACGGGGCCGCGTAGGGGCGGCGACGGGGCCGCGTAGGGGCGGCTACGGGGCCGCGTAGGGAGGGGAGCGGCGACGGGGCCGCTAGGGGCGGCGACGGGGCCGCTAGGGGCGGCAACGGGGCCGCTAGGGGCGGCGACGGGGCCGCGTAGGGGCGGCGACGGGGCCGCGTAGGGAGGGGAGCGGCTACGGGGCCGCTAGGGGCGGCGACGGGGCCGCGTAGGGGCGGCAACGGGGCCGCGTAGGGAGGGAGGCGGCAACGGGGCCGCTAGGGGCGGCGACAGGGCCGCTAGGGGCGGCTACGGGGCCGCGTAGGGGCGGCAACGGGGCCGCTAGGGGCCGCGAGGGGCCTGGAAGGGCGGCGACGGGGCCGCTAGGGGCGGCGACGGGGCCGCTAAGGGTGGCGCGAGGGGCCGTGAGAGGGGCCTCTAAGAGAGCTCGACAGAAGGGCGGCCCACAAGGCGCGCCTCGGGCAGGAGCGACTGTCGCTCCGGTCAGAAAAAAGGTTTCAGTGGTGGGCCCAAGGAAGCGTTCCCACTAGGGAACCTGCTCTATACCATGTGAAGAAATGAGGAATGAATGAACTAACAAGCAGGTGGGTACAAGTAGGAAAACCTAGAAGTGTTGTACCCCATATTGTCTACCCCACTATAGCCTACACAGACTATAGCATAAGAGTTTGACACGCGCCACGTGTCGCGAAAGGAAATACGTGGCACCTGCCAGCAGTGCCGAAATCGTCCACGTGCACTAAAAGAATTCGCGTCACTGCCAAAGGTCCACCACAGAACTAAAATATTCAACCACCTGTGAGGTCCACTTCATGGTGTAAACCCCATCTCGATCACCGCGACGAAACTACTATAACCCATCCATACCGTAAAACAATCCAAACTTGTTGCTAGAAGAAGGCGTTTTTCTCTCGTCACCTTTTGTTCTTCACTTAGTTATTTGCTGCTCTGCTCTCGTGTCTCCCAGTAACTAGGCTCGACTTCAAGTAACATTTACGCCCTTAAATACTATATTACCCGGCAGTCTTCGTTTGTCATTAATTACGCTCTTGTTCTAACTCGTCTTTCGTAACTAGAACCATGATTTTGACGATTATTTGTTTAGTTCCTTGAAGTCTCTCTCATCTCGCGTCACCGCTTACGTCCCCTACTATGTTACCGCGTCACATTTCAAACTGGCTTTCCCATCCGTTCATCCTTTTTCCCGTGGCATTGAATCAGGATAGCAAGTGACATCTTCTCAATGACGTTGGAAAGGAATCATGGCGTTTCGTACGATTCAACACGATGAATCATCTACTTCACTTGTACGTTTTCGTGCAATTTCATTTTCTTGAACATTGTTATTTTATTGTAAACAAAAATGTTTGGTGTGTCAACGTTGTTGTTTGATTGTAAGATCTGTCTTAACAGAATTTGCTAAAAGGAGATGTCAATGTTTTCGTCGACGGTATGTTTTTTTCATTCTGTTCTGGAGCTTTGTTTTCTAACCTCAATGACTGACAAATGATGTTTTCCAGCATACTATGTGCCTATGTTGCGGTTCAATATATTATAATTGGATCAATTCATTTTTGTAATTGTCTTCTAACAACTTCGTCGGTTCAAGGGTAATATTGATTACTTCATGTCTGCACAACGTTTATTTTGACTCAACTGAAGCCACTACTTAGATGTTGCGGTGTTTTTGTGTTATGCCAGATAATATATTTGAGCCTTATGGTTTTGGAAGTTGTGGCAATTTGTATACATCATGGTGCAAGAATTATGCATTAGCGTTTCTAGTGTTTTCTTTGTATAAACATTGTATTAATGTCCTGTTTCAAATACAATGGGGCTTTAAGGCCAAACGCAAGAGAGGCAGTTGCAATGCAAGCAAACCCAGAGAGGTCCCGAATCTGTCCGTGGGAGAGTCCTCAATGCTACAGGAAGAGAGGTCTCAAATGTGTCTCAAATGTGTCTCGAAAGACACTTTCGGGTCAGTTGGGCGATCCACTTTCAGGACATTTCACTTAGTCTCGAAAGTGTCTTTCGAGACACTTTTCAACCTGTCCCGAAAGTATTCGAAAAGAATCTTTTGGGACAGTTTCGGGACATTACATTTTGGAGATGTCCCTGCTACCCCACTGCTGCCCCACCTCGGCCCTCCCCGCGCACCTCCCCCGCATCACAACACACCCGCGCAACCCATGGCTTGCCTCGCAGCAGCAGCGACTCGGCGGCGCACGGCATGCTGCGCAGCACGCGGAAGCCGAACGCCTCCCGCGGCCGCGGCTCGTCGCTCTCCGGCCAATCGCACAGCGCGTTCGCGATGAGAAGACACGTGGCGATTGCGTCGTGCTGTTGCGACGGCGTTGCGGCCGTGCGAATCGCGTGATCGAGGTCGCGCGCGAGACCGTCGAAGCTTCTCAGCAGGCGCGCGTCGACGGCTGCGCCGATGGCGGGCGGCGCACGGCTCCCAACAATCTCCTCGGCTGTTCGAAGCGACTCCGAATCCGCCGCCTCGGCCGCGGGGTCCGGCGGCGCGCTTCTCTCATGGCTCGCCGCCATTCTCTGCCGCGCGCGAACTTCGCAATGTTGTCGCCACGAACCGTTGAGCGAGGGTGGCGACCTGGCAAGTGGTAACAGCGGAAGCGGCGGGAGCGGGGAGGCGATTAAGGAAGGCCATTGAAATGGGCGCGATCAGACTAGCCAGTTTAAAATCGCGTCTTCCTAGGCCATGTTTGTGTGGCCGCGAAAGGACAGGAGACAGTGCTCTAGGCTCGCAACCGTCACGGCTTGGAGTTAGCCGGGCAACGGTGGTCCGTTCGGGAATCCCCATGCATGCGTGCATGGCGCATCCCGCCTTGTTACATCTCCCTCTGCTCTCCCTGCTCCCTCGCTCCCTCGCTCCAGGCAGTGGTTGATAAGCAAGCCGCGACGCAGCGGATGTCGAGCCTCGGTGGCGGTGAGGAGAGCGCGGAGTGACGAGGGGGACCCACGAAACGCCATCTCGCCGTTGACGTGCATCAGCAGCAATGGAACACGGCTCGTTCGGCCGCTAACGCCCGCAGATCTGTCGAACAGATGGCCCCTCTTGTGCAGGCACACGATGCCGAGAGAATTTCTCCAGACCCCGAAACGGTGATTTGCCGTTGCACACGTGGCCTCGAATTGCTACCGTGGTCGGACAATTCGATGATGATTGCTCGAGTGGTCTTGCCAGAGGTTTCCTCTGGCATTTTTTTTATCCGGAACATTACCCAAAACCGGTTTTTTGCCCTGAAATTCTTACGTCGAACGTGTCTCTTCCCGCGAAAGTGTGGCGTACCCGGAAAGACGTGCACGAGGGCGGCAACGTCACTGTTTGGATACGCGACAAAAATCAGCACAGTCATCTAGGCAAACAGTTGAGCTCAATTTCGGTCCATATCGTAACCAATCCGCGCATAGTTATATGATTCCACGATCATATATTCAGTTGGACGGATGTCAGTACGCGCGACCAATTACAGAGTGCGCCTGATTGGTCGACTTTATGCGCGGGGCCTTTTCTGACCTTGCGCGTCCAATCAGACGCGGTCATGTAAGATCGCGCTCATATAAAACCGCCCATTTACCTATATGAGCGCGCATACCGTATTCTCCCGGATAAAACACCCTAGGGTATTATGAAAACCACTGGGAAAAAATGGGGGGGGTCTCCTCAAAGGAAAATCCTACATAATACCCGGGTCTTATTATATGGTATATTTTTTATCAAGTAGAAAAGATGTGAAACAAAATCAGGGGCCTGACTCCACTTCAAGATTGTTGACCAGTGCCGCAAAACCGAGTATACGAGGATAACGTGACCGCCCACTGGAATCTGCCACGTGGCAAATTCGAGTGGGCAATTCTGGCACTTGATAGGGTGAAAACAAAGCCAATTGCGTGGCGAGGGTTCATGCAACCGCCGAGGCCAGAATCGCGCACGGTGGTGCGTTCTTACTGTACCAGTCACTTCTTGACTGGTTTGGTCACGTATCTGTGCCTCATGTGAGAAGGTGATTTTCACCTATTGGGCCACTTGCAGCGGAAGATTCGCCAGCGTGGCAACAGCGAGATTGTGGGAGGGGAGAAATCTTGGCAGATTCTAAGTGAAAGTACACGCGAATTTTCACCTAGGGAGCAATTCTCGCGATATCGTCCCGTAAGGAATCGGACTCGATAACAGCTATAATATGAATGTATAAGAAAAGGGGGGTGTTATAGAAAATCACCCCAAAAGGGGGGGTATAGTACAAACGGGGTCGGATATAACACCCACCCCGTATTAGCTACCCGGGGGTGTACAATTACGGGGGGGTGTTTTATCCGGGAGAATACGGTATGTGATGCTCGAATGTGTGTATGATCTGTTTTATTAATCTAAAACTATATTAATAAATTCGAGAGACATTATCACTACCGGCGTTTTGCCATTATACATATAGGTATGCACAGTTTGATATAGGTATAATGGCAAAACGCCAGTAGTGATAACGTCTCTCAAATTTATTAACATAGTTTTATATTAATAAAACAGATCACACACACATTCGAGCATCACATATGCGCGCTCATATAGGTAAATATGCGGTTTTATATGAGCGCAATCTTACATGACCGCGTCTGATTGGACGCGCAAGGTCAGAAAAGGCCCCACGCATAAAGTCGACCAATCAAGCGCACTCTGTAACTGGTCGCGCGTACTGTACTGACATCCGTGCAACTGAGTATATGATCGGGGAATCATATAACTATGCGCGGATTAGTTACGATATGGACCGAAATTGAGCGCAACTGTTTGCCTAGATTACCGTGCTGATTTTTGTCGCGTATCCGAACAGTGACGGCGCCACCCTCGTGCACGTCTTTCCGGGTGCGTCACACTTTCGCAGGAAGAGACAAGTTCGACGTAAGAATTTCAGGGCTAAAAACCGGTTTTGGGTAATGTACCGGATAAAAAAAATGCCAGAGGAAACCTCTGGCAAGACCACTCGAGCAATTATCATCGAATTGTCCAACCACGGTAGCAATTAAAGGCCACGTGTGCAACGGCAAATCACCGTTTCCGGGTCTGGAGAAATTCTCTCCACGATGCCGTGGGTAGGACTGTGCAGGGATCAGCCCAGTTGATGTGTCAACAGTAACCTTGAAAACCACCGTACTGTACCACTCCTTTCTATATAGTTTCCAGGCATAACCCTACGTGGTACACGTGTGTTTATGGCATTTTTTAGAATTCTCTCAAATGCTGTGCTCCTCATTATCGGCTTGTTTGGCCTCTCCCTCCCCCGTGCATTCTAACCACTGAGCAGTGGGAGAAGGAAGTCAGGAAGCGCAAGAAATGCATTCACACAAGGCTCGTCCCCCCATCCATGCTCCTCCATCCCCCCACACCCCACGCGCCTCTCATGCTCCTCCCGCACCATCTGCACCGCCCTTGCCATGAGGTGCGCCTTGAGGTGCGCCTTGGGGTTGGCCCCGGCTGCTTCCACCTCTGCTGGTTCTATCCCCCGCCGTGCCAGCCATCTCACTGCGTCCCACTGCTCCTGGCTCGTTGCGTTGTGCAGCGGCGTCCCTGGGAGAGTGGAGGGTGGATGACGGGAGGCGGTCGGATATAGGCGGGGGACGAAAGCAGCTTTGGAAGCAATGCGGGAGGACAGCAGGATGGAGAGGGTCAAGGTGAAGGCAGGAGAGCAAAGAAAGGACGCTGGGAGCAGAATGATGCAAGCAAAGCACTTTCAACCATTCTAGTGCAAGACCACTCACAGCCACCACCCACTCACAGCCACCAGCCACTCACAGCCGCCAGCCACTCACAGCCGCCAGCAGTGCGAGCGCGGATGTCAGCCCCGTCCTCCACCAGCAGGCGCATGCAATCCACGTGGCTGCCATACGCCGCCACGTGCAGTGGCGTGGTGGCGTTGCGTGTGCTGCACACCCCCGCCCACATGCCCATGCGCAACAGTGCCTGAAGCTGCAGACACATGTATGGAGGAGCCGGGTGGAGAAAAAAGGGAGCCGGTCGGTGTGAGCACGGAACACGGCTTCGCTGGGCCGTGTGCAGCAGACACAGGATGATGGAAGGTGGGGGTGTGTGTGAGCTGATGCACGGGTGCCAGTGGGAAGATGCATGCATGTGATATGAGATGGGACTGACCACGGGGGAGTCACCATTGCGGGCAGCCACGTGCATGGCGGTCCATCCCCTCTCATCCACCACTCGACTCAATTCTCCTACTGAATCCACTCAGCCCCTCTGCTGACTCCACCCCGCATGCCCGCACCACACGCCACATGGCCTGCGCCTCCTCCTCCCCTCCACTCTCCCCATTAGTACCTCCCCCACCACCGTCCGCACTGCCATGCACACTGTCACTCCCCCCAGCTCGCCCCGCCAGGAACGCCTTGATGTGGGAGTAGAGCTGCTTCGCTGTGACCGTGGGAGTGGCAGGCGCAGCGGCGGTTGTAGTCAGGGCGGTGGGGGCATGAGGAGAGGCAGGAAAGAGGGAGGGTGACGGAGCGAGGGAGGGGGCGAGGGAGGGTGACGGAGCGAGGGAGGGGGCGAGGGCGGGGGAAGGAGCGAGGGAGGGGGCGAGGGAGGGTGACGGAGCGAGGGAGGGGGCGAGGGAGGGTGACGGAGCGAGGGAGGGGGCGAAAGTGGGGGAAGGAGCGAGGGAGGGGACGATGGAGGGGGAAGGAGCGAGGGAGGGAGTGAGGGAGGAGATGCGGACGAGGGAGAGCGGCTGCGAGAAGCGGAAGTTGGGCGACTCGCTCTCTGCCGCCGCGGAGGAGGAGGGTGACGCTGCCGATGGCTGTTGTGAGCCTGCTGCTGTAGCTGCCTGGGGTTGCGATCCTGGGAGTGACACGGGCGGGGGCGCTGGTGGCTGGGCGCGTGACTGTGAGAGCGATGGCAGAAGGGGAGGTGGAGGAGGTGGTCGGTGCGCCAGTGTCTGGTCAAGGAGAAGGAAGTAGCGGCTGGCCCTGAGACTGTGCAGCTGGGCGCAGCAACGAGGGGCGAGGGGGCGAGGGGCGAGGGGCGAGGGGAGAGGGGAGAGGGTGGACGGCACGGGCACAAGAGCGAGGGAAGCGCTGTGGGCAATGGCATGGGAATGGGGAAGAGGGCAAGTGAGCACATGCGGACAACAGAGCAGTGTGAGGGGGAAGGCAGGAGCGTGTTCTGACAAGGTGCCCCTGACGTGTGCTCTCACGCTCACCTGCTCTACTTGCTCCTCGCTCAGCTGCCGTGCCAGCACGTCCTCTTCCGTACTCATCCTCTGCTTCAACGGAGGATGGGCAGGATAGGGAACACGGGGAAAGCGGTGAGGGGTGGAATGGAAGGGTGGGACAGTAGGCAGGCATGCCATGGTGGGTAGTGCTTGCTTGGGAGACAGCTGCCCACGTGTGGGGTTGGAGATCACAGTGGAGTGGAGTGGAGAGGAGTGGAGCAAATTGGAGTGGAGAGTGAAGTGGAGTGGAGTGGAGTGGAGTGAGCACTGGAGTGGAGAGGAGTGGAGTTCAGTGGAGTGGAGAGAACAGTGGAGTGGAGTGAACAGTGAGTGGAGTGAACAGTGAGTGGAGTGAACAGTGAGTGGAGTGAACAGTGGAGTGGAGTGAACAGTGAGTGGAGTGAACAGTGAGTGGAGTGAACAGTGGAGTGGAGTGAACAGTGGATTGGTGTTGGCAGAGTTGCTCCACTCCAAGGATGCCATGCGTTGTGGGTGTGGACGAGCGTGGTGAGCCACCAGGCGAGCGCTGTGCTGTGCTGCACTAAGCTGCGCCGGGTGGCGCACCTTATTGCGCTTGATTTTTACGGGCAACGGCACACCCAGCTGCGTCAGGAAGGGGGCGCGCAGGCATGCAGGCAACAGCGGCCAGAGCGCGGGGGGCGCTGTTGCGGTGGCGGGTTTAGGCTTTTTGCTCCGCGGTCCACCGAAGCTCTTCCATGCCGTCTCCGCCGCTTGCTGCTGCTGTGCTCCATCAGGAAAAACGTATCTGAAGAGGGGAGGGGGGAGGGGGAGGAGGGCGACGCCGAGGGCGACGGAGAGGAAACGGGGGCGTGGGATCACGAGGAGAGAGAGAAAACGGTGCGGGGCTGTTTTGGAGAAAGAGGGCGCAGCGCAGCTCATGTAGGGCTGGAGGCGAGTGACACGAGGGCGGGGGGGAGGGGAGATGGCAAGCAGCGCGTGGTGGGTTGAACAGACAGGGTTACGACGCGCTGCTGAGCAGGGGAGAGCACGGGCACCACACCACTCACGCTAGCCCTGCACTCCAATGCTGTCCCGCCTCGCCTCTCCCGGCGCACCTTCCCCCCGGGACAACGCACCCGCGCAACCATGGCTTGCCTCGCAGCTGAAGCGACTCGGCGGCGTCCGGCATGCTGCGCAGCACGCGGAAGCCGAACGCCTCCCACGGCCGTGGGTCGTCGCTATCCGGCCAGTCGCACAGCGTGTTGGCGATGAGCAGACACGTCGCGATGGCGTCGTGCTGCTGCGACGTCGTGGCCGTGCGAAGAGCGTGGTCAAGGCCGCGCGCAAGTCCGTCGAAGCATGACCTCAACAGGCGAGCATCGCCGGCTGCGCGGACGCCGGGCGGCGCACGGCTCCCGCCAACCGCGGGCCGCCGTTCCTCGGCTCGTATCTCTTCGGCTGTTCGCGGCGATCCGTCCAACTCCGTCTCAGCGCGCTGACTCGCCGCCATTCTCTGGCGCGGGCGAACTTCGAGATGTGTCGTCACGAATCTGTGAGCGCGTGTGGCGAGCTGGCAAGTGGTAATTGCGGTGGCGGGCACGTTGGGGGGACGACGAATGAAGCACGTTGCGCTGGGCGCGGTAAGATTAAGACACTGTTTGGCAATCGTGTTGTCAAAGGCAATCTCCGTGGTCGCCGAAGGTCAGGAGAGAGAGCACGACCTTCTAAGCTAGCACTGCTCGCAGGTAGCTGGGCAAGGCAACCCTGGGCCATCTAGGAATTACCATGCCTGCCTGCATGGCGCATCCTCCCTTCCTCCCCGCTCCCATGCAGTGGTTGATAAGCAAGCCGCGACCCAGCGCGTCTCGGAGCTCGTGTGGTGGTGAGAAGAGCGAGGAGGACGAGGAGGAGCCAGGACCCATGAAACGCCATGGGTATGAGGGTCAGGCGCATCTCGCCGTTGATGCGCATCACGCAGCGATGGAACATGGCTCGCTGGGCCGCTAATGGCGAGTATCATGGACTGCTACTGCCGCCTGTTTCTGACGCTTCAAATCTGCATCATTTGGATGACGTGTCGAAAAAATGTGCTGTTTGGCTTGTCACACATCAAGGAGTATGTATCTCTATCGATACTGTATACGTTCTCAGTTCACCAGCGATGCTCCTTTATAGAACGTGCACTGTATTTTCAAGAGCATTCCTCTTTGCATGTCGTATATATTTTTCCATACCCAACCGGGCTCGGCGCGTTGTGTTGTCTTTCCGTCAAACTTTTTGTTTGCCACGTCAATCTTACGTACGAACCATTCAGAACCTGACACTCCCGCCGCCAGGTCAGCGAGTCACGCCCTTGCTCTGCTTTCAGCCACGCAGAGTTCCGCTCGCCCTGTGGCTGGGATGCATCCTTACCGCCCCCTCCCCTGCCTGGTCATCCCCAAACCTAACAAGCTTCACCTCGCATTGGGCTAGCTTGCTCCGATCATCCTGGCCGTCAACATCGCAGTGTGCTGCTCTGCGGACGGTGAGATCACGCGCACTGGAATTCGATTTTATGTGATGTGACCGCCCAGCCCAGAGGGCAGTCACGCACGAGCGGTGAGCAGCACCCACCCCCCTTCGTCCGCATCCCACAGCCCATGGAATCCAGCCACTGCCGTGTGGTGCGGCGGTGGGCACATGGCGTGCAGCTCACAAGGCAAAACTGCCAGCCATCTTGCCATACTGTCGGCCTCGCTGCCTAGGTAGACGCAACCGCACACAAGGAGCAGACTTGTACCCTTCTCGCAAAGAGCAGCAATCCGCAGCATCAGCGTCTTTCCGCATGTTTCACGCCCCCGTAGTCAAGAGTTGGAGAATGCATTCAGATTCGATCGTCCTATCGCGATTAGGAGCTCTCTATGGATCTTATCCAACCTTCGTTATCTTCCCAGCCCGCGCAAAGGGAGTGCATGCACGCGGTCAGTCCCAAGGACCAGGTGCCGTCTCAGTCGCCCGAATCCGTCGTCAGGGATCGTCGACATCAGAAGCATCGTCGCCAGGTCCTAGGCTCGCGGCATGGCACGCCGGCGCCCATCCGTCCGTCCGTGCTCGAGTCGCGAGCGTCTGGCCCTCCCTCGCTCACCGTTGACCCCGCTTTAGTCACACTCGCAGCAGAAGGGGGGGGCGAAGCTGAAGCGGCGTCGAATTCTTGGGACGGGTTCTCGTTCCCCGCCACGCCGAGCACCTGCGACGGCGATCTTTCGCCCACCTTTTCGCCCAGGGTTTTCTCGCCTGGTAGAAACATTTCGCCTCATGGTTCTTCGCCAGCCTTTTCGCCAAAAACTCCATCGCCGCGGTTACCAACTGGCGCTGCGCATGGAGCTGCTCCCGGCAATGGGCGCGCGATGGAGAGCCAACGGCGCGCGTTTTCCGGGTGTCGACGTGGCGCCGTGCCGCCGACTCGCCTGCAGCGCGACGCCGCGCTGGTTGGCTCTCCACGCGGCGACGCGCCAACTTCCTCCAAGGCGCAAGGTCCGCCGAATCTCGTCGCGCCGAACGTTCTGAGCGCAATTCGTGCGTCAGCGCACCGCGATTCTTCGCACCCCGAGCGGGCGGCATTCCAAGGTACCCCTGAGGCAAGTGCTGTCCATTCCGGCGGTCACGCCGGCGCTCCCGCCAGCCGTGGCCCGCTCGCTCGCGTTCGCCCTGCCGCCTCAACAGCAGCAGGAGGGGGAGCCCAAGGCGTGCAGATGCGCGGGCCACGCCCGCCGTCGCTCATCCTGCCCTCCCAGTGCGCCGCCCACACCTGCCGTGGCACCGCCGCCACCCATGCTGCCGTCAGGGCCGCGCAGGCAGTCAATGACCTTTCTGCCGCGGCTGCTGTTTCGCCCGCCGCGTCTGCTGACTCCGGTGCTTCCTCGCCTTCCTCATTCGCCTCCTCCCCACCCGCTCCTTCCGTTGCTGCTGCCAGCCCGTCCGCACTCCCGCTCGCCTCCACCTGCGCTGAATCCCCGAGGCTTTCACACCCGCGCTCTGCACATACCGCCCCTTCCCCTCCTCCCTCCGCCTCCGCATCTCCGCGCCTGCTCCAGGCGTCCCGTCCGCGCGCGCCCAGCGCGCACTCGTCTCCGCGTCCCTGCATTCCCGAGCGCACTGCGCAGTACGCCTCCCACGACCAGGCGGACCTTCCCCGCGCGGCGAGCTTCCACCATCCGCCCGCCCGCCGCCGCGAGTCTGATGCGCCAATGGCGCAAGAGGCGGCCGACCTTGCCCGCGCGCGCAGCTTCCACCGCCCGCCCTCGCAACTGCAACCAAAGCTCTCCCCCTCCGCCGCCCACCATACCCGCTTGCCCTTCCCCCTTCTGCCCCTCACCTTCCCCCGCTCCCCCACCCATCCCGCGCCCCGTAGCTGCCCGCCAGCACGCCTGCTCGCGGAGCAGCCGCTGCGGAATTGGGGGAGAGGCGAGGGTGGGTGCAGGGGGCAGGAGGAGTGTGAGGTGATGGGGTGGCGAGGGAAGTGGGTGTCGGAGGTGAGAGGGGACAGGGAGATGAGGGAGGGTGAGGGGGCGGAAGAAGGGGAGGAAGAGTGGGGAACACAGAAAGTGGGGAGAGGGGAGCGGTTGCTGCAAGGACGGAATGTGATCTTGAGAAACAGGCAGCCGCAACGGCGGGCATCTTGTGGCGGCCAATCGGATGCTGCCATGTGGCAGCGTGTCCACGACGGAATGCCTATGGAAGAGGCAGACGTGCCCATGTGGCGCCTGGTGGCTCGCGCCCTGGCGCCTCCCAGCCCCACACCGCACAGTCAGGCGCCTCCCAGCTCCACACCGCACAGTCAGGCGCCTCCCAGCCCCACACCGCACAGTCAGGCGCCTCCCAGCCCCACACCGCACAGTCAGGCACCGCCCAGCGCCGCCTCCGCACAGTTGAAGTGCCACATTGGTCCTGGGGGAGTAGCAGCAACATGCACTTCCAGGGAGCGGGTAGGAGGAGGCACTGTGAGGGGGGAGGGGGTCGATGTTTCAGGCGATGTGAGGGGGTTCAGCAGGGCACAGCCGCCTGAACGCATACATGATCACACTCGATACAGTCACAGCCCGACCCCCTCTCCACGATTGGGGTGTGCCTCTGGGGGGAGCTGTGTGATGCTTCCTCCACCCGTGTGCAACCCCGCTGCAGCACCCACACATACCCTCGTCCAGCCGTGGCAGCAGCAGCAGGAGCAGGAGGGGGAGGAGCAGGAGGAAGGTGAGGATCCAGGGCTCGCCGTTCCACGCAGGGCGTACTCCGCACGCTGCACTGCCACCGCTGCCCCCACCCGCTCGCCCCTCTCCCCTGTCCACCACCGCACACATTCCTCCAGTTTCTCCCACCTCCATCACTCCCCACTTGACAGCCCAACAGCTGGCAGGTGTGGCACGGGGCGGCAGAGGGGAGCAGGCGAGTCCATATGTCTTGCTAGTCCAAGGGCCATCCGCAGTCAAAAGGCCCTCACTGCTCCGCACAGCAGCCCACAGCTCGTCTCCGACCCAAGGGTGCTTCACAGCCCTCGGTCACCCTCACACTCGCGGTCACAGTCAGCCCTGAGCAGCCCCACAGTCTGCCACACAGATCCCAGCAGCTCAGCAGACACAGGGCTGTGAGCAGCACACTGTGGCCTGAGACGGATGCAGGGTTGGGAAGTGGTGGATCAGGGCAATTGTGGACGTTCCTGCTGTCGCGGACACGGCCTGTCCCTGCTGCCTGACCGCCACCCAGTGCCTGACTGCCAGCATGCTTGCACTGCTGCCTAGTGCCTTGATGTTGCGGTCGTCTCCTCGTCCCATCAGCCAGTGTGCTTGCACTGCTGCCCAGTGCCTTGATGCTTACTAAAACCGGGTCTCCTCGTCACATCAGCATAGCCATTTATAATTGTGTTTTATATCATCCTCAACGCCATGCAATGCTTTCACAGGAATGATTCTATAGTGGACAAGTAGAGAGTTGGCAATTGGGTTGCCAGCGAGCTATGTATTACCGTATGTGTATATATGGCCAGGTTATGATATTTACATTGGGTTGTTGTTACGGGTGCAATGAATCGAAGTAGCGAGAATTGCACTAAGGTGTCAAACAAGTACAAAATGTGAGCGAAGGCATGAGCGAACATTTATACGTGAAACATGCAAACGGTAACACGGTGCGTGCGAACTAGATAGTGCTACGCTGGCAGCGAGGCTCGGGCTAGTCCCGAAGCGTAGGCCGACACGGCCGAGCCAGCAGTGCGAGGTTTGGTGAAACAGCGCGCGCGAAGTCGGCGAAGCCCCGTTAGCAGTGTTGGGCTGAAAAAGCCCTAGGATCTTTGCAGGACTAAACTCCTGGTAGGACTGATATAATAGCGGATGCGTTTAGTGAAAGGTTGTGAACCACCTTGCGCTGGTATGTGAGGGCAAAGTAGATTGATTAAAACAAAGAGATACAAGCCTTTTATAAGAGTACAAGGGAATATGAAGGGTTATAACTAATAATTGTTTTGCTGTTGCTGTTGCGGTTCGATACAGTGACGACTCGGGCAACTGCTCAATAGCGAGTCAGTTGTTTGTCCTTGCTGTCGCGCTGTACTTGTCAGGTCAAAGGTCGCTGACCTTTGACTTTCGCGTAACCTCCAGCAGTTGCTCAACCTCCGAAGGTTGACTCGCTGATGCTTCGATATGTTTCGCTTCGCTTCTGACTTGGTGTTTCGACACGACAGAGGCGCTTAAGTTAATTGTTTCCAACACTCCCCTTCGCTTCTGGAGTGTCGCTGCTGGTGACGTGGCTCTGTCCAGTTAGCAGCATGCAGTATTCGAACTTCTGCTTTCCGAGCTTCTTGGTCAAGTAATCAGCTGCCATCTCGGACGTGGGGCAATAGGATAATTCGAGTCTCCCCTTCTCGATCTCGTCTTTCACGAAGAAATATCGCAGGGCGATATGCTTCGTCCTGTTCGCGAATCCGTTTTTGTTGGCTATGCGAATTGCCGACTGGTTGTCGCAGAATAGAGTGAAGCTGGGTAACTGAGCCAGCTTTGCTTCCTCCAAGAGATCGCGAAGGTACAATCCTTCCTTGGTGGCTGAGCAGAGTGCGATATATTCTGCTTCAGCTGAGGAGAGAGCGATTAATTCCTGCTTGCTCGACTGCCACGAGATAGGTCCGATAGGCTCGAGGCGGTAGATGTAGCCTGTGCGCGAGCGCCTGTTGTCAGAATCTCCGGCGTGGTCGGCGTCGACGTAGCCGATTAACTTAGGCGTTGTAGTTCCGTTCTTGTAGTAGGTCAGGCCGATCGTTGGCATGCTAACGGGGTAGTGAAGAGCGCGGTCGAGCTCCGCCATGTGTTCAGGTTCAGGCCTTTTAAGGTAGGTGGCGAGTTGACTTGCAGAGTATGATAGGTCCGGGCGGCAGGTGACAGCTGCGAAGAGAAGGCATCCCAGCTTCCTCTGGTAGTCGCGTATCCCGGCAGGCTTGAGTAGAGTGGAGCCTTCCTTTTGATTTCCTGCCGTGTAGCGGTATGGCGTAGAAATGGTAGTTGTCGTGAGTGCGAAACGTTTGGCGATGGTGTCGGCGTATTTCGCGGCGTTGAGGTAGATCGCGCCTTCTTCTTCCTGGATGTTGAGGCCGAGGTACTGCGTGACGGTGGACGAGACCGTGAGCGTGAGATCCTTCTGTAGCTCCCCTTCGAACCAGGTAGTGATGTTGTCGGTCGAGCCGATGTAGAGTAAATCGTCCATGTAGATGATCAGTAGGATGTAGTCGGTGCCCTTTGTGAGCCGATACATGCCCTGGTCGTGAGGTAGCTGGCGGAATCCAATGCGAATGAGCCGAGCGTGTAGGTACTGCTGCCACAGTCTCGGGGCCTGTTTGATGCCGTACAGTGACTTCAGGAGCTGATAGACGTGATTAGGTTCTCCGTTGTAACCATGTGGTAGTTCGACGAAGATTTCTGCGTCGACAGGTGCGTAGAGAAATACGTTGGCGACATCAATTTGCCGCAGTTTCTTCTTCTTCATGGCGACGATCGCGGGGAGAATTCGCAGCGAGGTGTGTCGGCTGACCGGGACGAATGTCTCGGTGAAGTCGCGTTCGTGCTCTTGGTCGAAGCCGCGTACGACCCAGCGCGCCTTAAACTTGTCGATGGTGCCGTCTGCCTTTGTCTTCACACAGAAGACCCATTTCCCGGTGAGTACTGTCTTGTTTCGTGCCACGTCGATGGGAACGACTTTCCAGGTGTTGCGTTCCTCCAGTGCTTTCAGTTCCCTGTCCATGGCTTCACGCCATTTTTCCCTATGCTCCCCCCCCAGAGCCTGCTGAACTGTGGCAGGCTCCTTAGGAACCTCCGTGCCGTGGACCGCGGTGACAAGGCCGAGTATCTGGAGGCCACTCTGTGTGTAGCGGGGGAGTGTTGTGTCCGCGAGATAAGCTGCTTCGTCACCTGCTTCTGGGTAAGGTATGAAGTTGGGCCCTATGCGTTCTGCTTCGTTGGTGTTGACTTCTGCAGGTGTAACGTAACCGTTGTCGGCGAAGTGGTAAAATACTTCGGCGTTGATGCTTTTGCGAGATTTTCGTCATCCATTGGGACGTCGACGGAGCAGCAAGGGAGAGGTCCGGCTTCCTCCGAGGCTGCATCCACGTTCTGTTTGTCCCAGTCAGCTTCGTCTGCTGCCGAGGCGAAGGCTCGGTCACCACGGAAACCACCTGTGGGGTCCTGATCTTCTTCCAGGTTGGCAAGGTACGTCGGAAAGGTGAGTCGATCGTAAAAAATGACATCACGTGTTGCTACTGTTTCCTTGGAGTGGACGTCGAAAATTTTCCACGCATTGTAATGTCTTTCGATGCCCAGGTGTAGTCCCCACTGTGCGCGTTGGGAAAATCGGCCGGCTCGTGCAGATGGGGGTCGGTACTGTACCATGTAGCCGAAAATTCTTAACATTTTTGTGCTGCCCTGTTTTCCTGTCCACAGCAGATGTGGTGATGCGTTGTTCGAGAGCGATGATGACGAGAGCAAGTTGTGCAGCATGACAGCGTGGTCCATTGCTTCGGGCCACTGGTTGTTGGGCAGTCGCATGCCTTGTAGAAGTTTGCGCATGGTGTTCTGGAGAGTCCTGTTCATCCTTTCTGCTACGCCTTGCTGCTGGTGAGCGTAGGAAAGGGAGATGAGCTTGATCCCTCTTTCTGCCAAGTACTGCTTGAACCTCTGTGAGGTGTATTCTCCTCCTCCGTCTGACTGGAAGCTTTTTAGCTTCACGCCTGATTCTCGTTCTGCTACTGGGAGCCAAGCGACGAAGGCCTCGAAGGCCATGTCCTTTCTCGGTAGGTTGAGGTGCCAAACGTAACGCGTGGCGGCATCGATGAACGTGATGGTGTAGCTGTATGCTCCTTGTCCGGGTTCGCGGTTGTACAGGATGTCGCTGTACACTTTCTTGAGTGATGCGTAAGCTGGTGCGCTGGGATTGTGGTGAGAAGCGAACTGCAGATGTGGTAAGTCAACTTCGGGGCAGGTAAAGCACGTTCCGCGAGCTCGTCGAAGTTCGCTTCCGTCGGTTAGGAGCAGTGAATCTTTATCGAGCACGCCTGCTCTGATTGTGTTGTTTAACACCGTGTTGCTTGGATGTCCCATTCGTGCGTGCTAGATGTCTTGGGTGAGCGCCGATATATGTCAGAGTTGGAGTAAAAGCTGGCGGTGAAGTTGGCGCTTCGATGGACTTCCCGTTGAGTTGGGTTCAGCTGCTGCGCAGGAGTTGGTGAAGTGTCGTCGTCGATTGGAGCCGGTGCAGTTGAAGGACCCGCGATTGGTGCCGATGTTGTTTCTGCTGCTGCTGGTGTTGTCTCTGCTGCTGCCGATGTTGTCTCTGCTGCTGCCGGTGTTGTCTCTGCTGCTGCCGGTGTTGTCTCTGCTGCTGCCGATGTTGTCTCTGCTGCTGCCGATTGTTGAATCGTTGCTAATGCTTTTGTTTGTTCTGCCTCAGGAATGGTGTGCGAGTACCAGAAGCCTTCGGGACTGAAGTTGGGGTCGAGATCCGGTGGATGTGTCCAGGAGGTGAAGGTGACGATCCCGTCGCTGTCAGCGGTGCCAAGATCTGGGACGAAGTCGAGGACGAAGACGTTGTTTTTCAGGACCGCCTTCCCGATGTAGAGACCGCCCTTCCCGTGGTATAACTTGAACTCCTGAGTGATGCTATCTGCTTCGAGGTGTATGCCCTTCGCCATCAGTTGACTGACGCTTAGTAAGTTGTAACCGAGCCCTTCTGCTATTAAAACCTTTGACATTTGCAGTATGACGTTTGTATCTCGTGACTGAAGTTGCACTACGCCTTGTCGTCGTGTGCACAGGTTCTGATTGTTGGCGACGGTGATAACGACCTCGCGTTGAAGTTGGTGTTCGCGCTGCGTCCTGAAGAGCACATGTGCTGTCCACAACAGCTGTCCAAGAACCACGTATCTTTCCCGGACGGCTCGCTTTGAGCGATGGCTGCATACGTCGGATTTGGTTGAAGTGACTCGCGGCGAGGCGTGCTGTTGTCGAGTTGCTCTTCCGATGAGTAATGCGGTGGTGACTCTGTGATGCAGGAGTCGGTCAGCCGTGCCATGCAACTGACAATGTTTCTTGTTCCTTGCGCAGGTTGTCCCGTCGATGTTGTTGAGGCTTGTA